ACATAAAATCATATTTCAAACCATAAATAATGTTCGACAGCCAAATAAAAGAAACAATACCAATACAGGCTTACAGTTTAAGGTTCGACATTGTGTTGTCTACGATTAGACAGCTGATAACTCATTCCCGTACGTCGTAACTCTATAATGACCTTTGCTTATTGTCACATGTGCGCCGCATTCGCGATTGTTGCCGACGCCTGTTTGCAGGTCAGCCCACTACAGTTGTTATACATATCGAAAAACCGATAAACTTTTAGGCGAAAAAGGCACTATTCCAGGCCCATTTTTGATTTTTTTTTGCGATATTAGGTAAAAACAGAAGCTTCTTATCCTAGGAAAAATAAAATGGGAAATCATCGGAAGGTGGCACACTACCTTTAAGTGGTATTCGAAGTAGCGTCGAAAGTAGCAAAAAGAATAAAAATACTTCAGCCAATTTTAGATCGGTTCAGAGCAAAAGGTCATGTCACCAGAGGTCATCGATGGTAAAATTTTGCTTGGACAGGGTGCGTTGTGCGCACCGGTGCATTGGGTTTCCAATTTCCATGGAAACATCAACAGACTCGGAAGCTCGTAACACTAGCGTGGAGCCGAATTCATATCAACCGCCGCTACAATGCATGGCAGCGCAGCGCAGCGTGCTGCAGCGCGGAACCGTGAAACACCGCCCAGGGCTATCCATGTGTCAGGGCAATCCAACCCACGTGATAGGCTCGGCCCCAGCGGAGCATGAGGCTCAGGACTCCCGCCCAGGCCCCCTGTCTCCCCCTAATTCCTGTCATCCTTCCCACTCTGAAATCGACCGAAAGAGCCTAACCTAACACAACAAGCAGCTCGTTTACCGCTATGTCTGAATAATATTGTAAGATTTAATTAAGGTCAACGGCTTAGCACGTAAATAACAGCAACTGCCACCATCGGTATTATGAGAAAACCAATTGCTTTTCCACAAACACTAAAAGTTTTAAGCTAAACTTGCATGAAATTAATTTTACCAGCCTCGTGTTCCTCTTATCAAAACGCTTCGAATGAATCAAAAGTTGATCTTTAACCCTCGCCGGCACACGCTATTTTGCATCCTTCGACGGCACAGGGGGGGGGGGGGGGTGGCACGACCCCACCCGCGCTTGGCCCCTGATTGAGCTAGAGCTTCGCGGAAAAAAACGAGCGTGTTGCCCGTCACGAGAGGAAGCCGATGATACCCAATTTTAAGGTCCTAGGTCATCGGGTGACCTTCCAGGTCAGGTCAATGACCCGATAATCAGGAAAATGGGGACCTGTTAGAAAGTCGTAAAGTGTGGCTGCTATGGGGTTTTCCGGGGTGCTGATCACGAATATCGTGTTAGTTTTATCAGAGATGATGTCTTAAAGCATTTAGACCAGGTCGGTTCAGGTCAGGTCAGGTCAACCGGTAGGGGTCACGACGGGTATTCGTAATACCTGTCATCCGCCTCTGACAGCTTCGTAACATGTTACGAAGGCACCAAAACTACTTCGTAAATGTTCAAATGGTTGCTTAATTCGAATTCAGCTCCAAAAACTAGCGTGGAAACATGTAAAACTCGAAAAAGTGAACCGAGGTCACCAAAGGTCAATGACCTGACCTGACCTTCAGGTGATTCAGATGGTCAAAGGTCATTTGGGTCAGGGTCATGAAATTTTCAGGGTAGGTGTAAAATTTATCAAATCGCGGGTACTGAAAGTTTCGTCGCGATCGGCCGCTTTTTACGCGAGTTATTCGCGAAAAACCTTGGGGGGGGGGTTGCATCAACCCTCCCTCTCTTTGCCGGCGAGGGAGGTCATTTGGAAGAATTTGGCCAATGATCAAAGACATGACCTGACCAGAAATGGTCATGATGGATAGCAGGATATTAGATCCGTATCGTGAAACTTTACAAACACTTTAGATGATTTCATAACTTAAGCATGTCTATCAAAAATATTTATTACATGGCTCATGTGTAAGCTGGGTGTGTGATCATGCTTACGAGTATGTTGAACGCAACTGATAATGTTCTGCTGGCCACAATTTCTATATTTAATTTATCCTCCCGGATTTCATATTTTTAATAATGACACCTTGACGATGTCGAGAAAAAGAAACGCTTAGGAGATTTAACAGCCTGAGATACATTCAATATAAGGAAGGGTCAAGGGTGCTAGATTCCTTCCGTCCTCACTATCCTCAGGAAAAACCAATCCGCATCGCCCCTAGTCTTCATGCTTCCCTCTCTGGACTGGAGGTCACCCCACCAGCCAACCTGTAGTTGATATCGGTTCCATTCCAAGACGCATAACCCTCTTCGGGTGACCGTTGGGGAGACGGCTGGACCGTCCCGACAGGGCAATCGTCCCACGGGAACAGTGACGCTTCCGGAGTCCGCAGATCACTGTCGCTGGCTCGCACAACCAAATTACTACACCAGAGCATAGTTATGTCATAGCTCTGCAAGGGCCTTCTCAGACCGAAAAAGATGGCTCACGACAAAACAAACAATTTTCTCATTCAGTATTGTATCTCATCAGGCACCACATGTTTTCAGAGTGTTTATTATGTGTTCCGTCAAAAAAAAGCGCAGTTCAACTTTCTCCCATTGAATTTAGCGATCTCAAAATTGACCCGACCTTTCTGTCAGCAATGTCAAACTTGCAAAATAAACGTTTCAAATACATATACTGTTGCCCATTGAAATCGCTGAAGGTTCTAAAGCGATGTATTTAGATATAATGAGCACAGGAACTTTCCTTGAGGTAAGGTCACTTGACGTGACCTGGTGACCTTGAATTGAAAGACTTGGGCGGGAGAAATGGATCATTTGAAATCTTAAAATGTTAGATTTTAACAATAATTGCAAACACTATCCCGGCCAAATAGTGAGTGAGAAGGGAGCGATTCCCCAACTCCATGTTTAGCTCCTATAATTGAGCTAATTGCTAGAGCCTCGCGGAAAAAAACGAGCGCTTGCGTCGTTACGTGACGCAGCGACTGTCACCCCATTTAAAAATATCAGTGACCTCTTAGGGCAGGTCAAGGGCCCCAAGGCATTGGGTCGGTTTTTGGTGAATAACTTCACAAAGAAGGTCGCATTATCGTCATTTCGATACAATCGTGTTTTCTGTTCTCAGACGCGTCGATTTATATGCTTTTTTGCTTAGGTGAAGCAATTTAGGATGTTTAGGTCAATGTCATGTTAGGGCAACACAGGTCACAAAGCTTTTGAAAGGAGGACATGCTGCATAACATTTGATTCGACCAGTCTTGCAGAGTCCATTGATGGCTGTCCCGACTGGCTAGCTCATTTTGATCGGTAGTTATTGACGGGCACTCCTATTGACGAGCACTCCGTCACGCAAGGTGAACAATGCAAACGTGAAGCACTAAACCTTGCCAAGAATGTATGAAGTCACGATTTCATGTGCGTGAGGTATAGTTTTAGCTCATTTCCGACACCAAATTAACAGTTTCCATATTTTCCCATTATGCTTGTATGACACTAAGTGCATTACGGAATTGCATCATTTTATAACCGACAACCGTGCAGTCTGCAGAGGATTACTTAAGACGTCATAGTTAAGTGACCTGACATGGAAACGTGGTTGATTTCAAATGATCCGGCTTGAATCAAATGTAAGGCATATGAAATGTCAGCCTTCTATCATCAGTGTGCTTTGAGCTACAGCAAAAAAAAAAAAAAAAATACATGGTGGCGGCACCCACCCCTTCTTCTCGGCCGGCGAGGGTTAAACCTCGCTTCGAATTATTGCAGATAATGATGCGACCGAAAACAAAGCATTTATCTGTGTCTAGAACGGCCGCTGACTTGTTGGACAAGATCCCCAATCTTATTTTGCTAGATGGGAATAAAATACTCGGCATATGATACATATATACCTACCCCTCGGCTTGCCCTCGTGCAAAGTCAATTCTAATCATCACTGTCGCTTTTTTATCCGAGATGATGTCGCCACTAAACGGGTTGTTTTGTTTGCTTGCTTGCGTTGAATGGTCATTACGGATTATTGAAGGATTATGATATAATAGGAACGGGGCAAGGGAGGATATGCACTGCAGTGCAGGTGTTTAATTTAGATCACAAAGGCATCGTTTCCGGCATCGTGCAGAGTCACTATCTTCCCCTCCTCTGCACTGCGGCATCTCTGCGCCCCACACACGGCGTCCTCACTCCACGGCCGGCCGCCGCCAACTGACCCACTCGCCGGGCGCTGCGACCTGACCCGTGTCACTGCCGCGGCCTGCGCAATAGAGTCGGGGCTGGAATCCGGGGGTTCGGCCGGCCGGCCGCCTCTGGAGCGGGGGACTTTTTTAGTAGACCTACTGTACATTTTTACGAAACAAATATTCAAAATTCAAATGTTTTAGAATGTTTGAGGCGTATCTTATGGCGGTGGCATACGGCAAATTGCAGCATAAAGGCATTAAGTTATACTCAGAAGCAATATAGTCAGACGTCGAAGACCGATTCCGCCGTATTGTACAAAGCCCATCACATATTTTTTTTTCAATTTACAGTCACGGTTTTCTTACATGTGGGATGTGGTTTTACGCAGCCTTGGGTAAGTATTTATCTTCGAAGTAGCCAATAATGCGAGCGCTGTTAGATTTCTTTTGGGCATCTCGTCATGCTCATGCTCATAGACATTAAACCTATTTGTGGTTCAGTTTGTGCTTTGCCAACAAGATTAGACCTGTTAGCATACCATTTTTATCCCATTTGAAGCAATAAACCTGTCTTTTATGATTATGTAACAGGCAATTGAACAAATTACGCTTAAAATAGTTAAACCATAATGCGAGACAAAGTCAATTAAATAGCACATAAAACTTGCAACGTCATTTGGACAAAAATTATTGATCACAAGATTAAACAAACCAGCCACAATATTCAACATAAAATAAAACAAAACACAACGACCAGTACATATACCTACTACTCTGCACCTAAATGGTCGATCATATAATGAAGCGCCACTCTTACCTTACTGTCGGTACAGTCCCCTCTCGTTCACACACGCTCTGTTGTCACTGCGACTCGTTGAGTTAGGTATGTCAGGCTCTGGTTCTTCACCTCAGGCCACCTCTCGACCGTGTACCGCCCCCTGTCGAGCGGTACTCTCTCTTTATAGCCTAGCGGCACCGTGCCGCCCCGCCCCTCCGCTCGGCTGTCGCTCAAGGCTGCAAATTTCGTTAGGAGCTGCAGTGCCGGTGCACAGATTCGTGGCAGGCGTGGCCGCTGTTTTTCCTCTCTCCCCCTGTCGATAAAAAATGGCGGCATTCAGAGGAATCTCAGGGTGCTCGTGGAGTCGTGAATCGTGATTCATATTTGCGAGCGGTCCGGTCGGTCCGGGCCTTCCGCTGACGTGGCGTTGATGAGACTGTGGGAGTTTTCTCAGTTTCCGCCGAACGGTCAGAACTGAACACGACTCCGGTAGCCGGGCAATGATAAAAGTCTTCATACCGCTGGAACTACTTACAGCTCTGCATGAAGTCACTAGACCGGATATTGCTAATGTATGTATGTTGTTTGTACCATGCTCATTGCTCGTTCATCCGTGTTGAATATAAACATGCATGTAAAACGGCTGGTATTGACTAAATTCTTCGACCCGCTGGAAATATTCACAGATCTGCATGATATCATTAGAGCTGATACTGCTAATGTCTGTTGTCTGTACAATGCACGTTCATCCGCGTTGAACCTAAAACATGCATGTAAATCGGTTGGCATATGACCTCAGAAGCTTGTAAAGTATTCATTTCCTGGATTGGCATTTCCTTTTCCTGGAAAAAAAAACGAACTCTTATCTGGAAAAGTCAAAATGTGACCCGTCCATCGAAACGGTCTCAGCCTCGGCGGTGCACCCGGTTGGTCGCCCAGACCAATGTCTCCCCTAATTTCTGGCATCCTTTTTGGCTCTGCAATGGTCTCATTAGACCGTAACGGCCTAATTATAAAACCTAGCCCCCACATAACCAATCGAAGGGCAATATGCGTAACTTTAGGAGGAAAATTGACTGTGAATTATATGTGAATGAATGCCTTTTCCTTCGTTTCACTGATAACTTGGTGGTGTTATGTGCAAAACAAGGTGTTCACACGTTCCGATAGAAGCAGTGGCCTGTGCACATCGGCCGATATAATGTCCGTCGGATCACGAGAAATGAGGAAAACTCTCTGGCTGGACCGTTAGGGCAGACTTTGAGTGGGCCACCTCCGGCACTGCTCGGCCTTCTCTCGGCTGCGCGCTGTGAGTCAGGGATCTGGGAGTCGGAGACTGATCTCGGCGGCAGCAGCCGTCCTGCTCGGCCCCGCCCGGGTCGGCCGCGCCACTTTCCTGTTCCGTTCGCGCCCGTTCCCAGGCGCACCGTGTGTGAGATCCGACTGTCCAGCCGCGGCGCCGGCGCTGCTGCAGGAGCCCCGCGACCGATCACCTCTGCAGCGACGACCTTCGGAACACTGCAGTAGTCGGCTTTGTGAGAGGCAACAGGGGCGAACGATGGTTCTGCGCAGGACATTGGTCTCTCAGAGCATGATATATGTATGTGAGAAAGTGGTGTAACAAGTTCTCTTTCATTTAATTCGGTAGGTAGCCAAACTCATGCATGGTTCATACGGAAACACTTACTCTGTTTATGTACCTATGTAACAAAGTAAATGGATTAAACCTACACCTGCTGCTGTAATTGTGTACCGTGTCGGAAATTAATGCGACCTTGGCATTAACGGTATAGATAAAAATCACCAGACAATGCATTGTGATACGGCACGGGTCGTGAGTTCCCAGCCACATTTTTGCTTTTCTCGACAGCCCGATTTGTGATCATTTAGACGCCCACGTTATGCGAAACCCGATGATCGTCGTCAAACAGATATGTAGCCTGCTCCGAGCTATAACGGAAACGATGTGGCCGAGGAATGGGTTTGAAACAGGCTGTGGGCTGCGCCTGCAAAATACCCCTCAATATTTCATGCAATTTAAGCAAAAAAAAAAAAATCTAAGCAACTGCATGAATGTACCTGCTATATTGCTATATTTACCTGCTATTTATACTTGCTATACCTGCTAGAATGTACCTGCTATATTGACATGATAAACTACTATTTAAAGATATCGATTGGGCGTAAACAGTTCTACATCGGCGTCCGATTTTGTCGTGTTCTGGGTGTGTCGCTTAATCAATCTGCCAATCTGAATACCTTGCCCAAGATTCATGCAACACTGCTCGCCACCTTGATTCTAATCGGCTAAGGCGTGACGGACTGCGCGTTATGCGTCAGCTTCCGTCAGTCAGTCCCGGCGCCGGCTGGACTGGACTTTCCACTCACTCTCGTCTAGATTGATAACAATGCTGCGCCGACCGGTCCGGTCTGCGTCCTCCCAAGGCCAGTGCAGCTCACACAATAGACAAACGGGCTATATAATGCATAGTTCACAGCTCGATACAGTCAGACCCACCTCTGATTACTATTTTATTATACAAAACACGTAACGATAGCACCTCGAAAAACAACACAATATTTTGTACGTCCCCGTACGGCATACGTGGCGGCAACCACAGCAGCACTGGAATGAATGGATCCACGCTGCCCTTCTATAATCCTCATCGTGCAGTGCATTTGATATTCAAGCAAGTAAAGTCCTCACAATCCCAACGACACACATATACCACTTAACCATTGTTTGGTGGTACCAGATCCCAAACAGCTGCAATTAACCACACCTCATTCGTGAGCATATTCCACCGCCAACTTTCCTACAATCTGGCCAGTTCCAGCATGGCGGCCCGAATGGCCTCCGTCTCCGGGTCCGGCGTGGTGCCGGCCGTGACGGTCGTGACGGGCGAAGTGCGTGACCCCAGCCGGCGCCGGCGGCCCCGTGACGCTGGCGTCACACGTCTGACGTCATCGGTGTCCGTCGGGGCGGCGGTGGCGGCCGGAAGTGCGTCGGGGGCGGCGCTGCGCGCTAGCTCGGCCACTAGACGGACGGCCGAGAGCGTCGACGTCTCTGTGGGAGCAGCAGCGGGTCAACCCAGCATCGGATAGATGTGAGTGTGACTGACATGAAAATCCATGTGAAGAAATCAGCACTGCACGGCGCACGCAACAGTTGTCACACCTTGCGGCGTTACAGTTACGGAATAGTTTGTGCAATATTAGCTCAGATTGGTAAGATTTAAAATGCGTCTGTTAAAATTTTCACATGTTTCTTTCGATTTTCAGGAGCTGAAATGCTTGTGAAATAAGAATGCTCGCTCTGGGGAGTCGGGGACTGCTTAAAACCTTTCCTATGTCTAGCTATGTGCTAAATTCGCCCCTACACAGACTAGCAAAATAAAGGAGTGAATATTTCTGGTCGAGTAAATAAAGAGTGAGCATTAATGATTAAAATGTCATAGCACAAAATACTTAACAAACGTTAATCTAACCGTAAATTCGTCATAAGCACACAGCACGTCTAAAGGTCCGTGAGCCCGTACAGTCGGGTGCGATGTTACCTGGCCGTTGAGGATACGTCAGTTCACTTCCGTCTTTGTCGAGTTCAGAGCGACCGTCCACGTCATCGTCAGACGCGTCAGGAGGGTCAGATTGGTCACATTGGTCAGATTGGTCACATTGGTCAGATTGGTTAGACAGGAAAGGTTTGTCAGGCTGGTCAGAGTAGTTAAACTGACTGTGGTTGGGGTAGTTAAACTGCTCAGGCTGGTTCAGGAAATGATCAGGACGAAGTCGTTGGTCGTCAACACGAGTCTTTACAGAGTAATGGAGGCGCGTGCGCGGGTCCGACAAAGGAGGTGCTAGTGTAATATCGGTGCTGAGAGAGACTGAGCTGGGTTCAAGACTGGTGCCGAGTGAAGCGGAACCTGGTGATTGTGCTCCCTTGGTGCTGAGAGGAAGACCAGCATGCCTCCAGGTGGGACTTAATGGGCTCACATCTCCGCTAATAGGAATATCTTCTGAGGGCGACATTTCCTGGACGGACGGTTTACTGGAGGACAACTGTTCCTGGAACTCCTGGACGGCAGGGGTACGTCGAGAGTTCCCACCGGACCGGGACCTCGCTACCCTAGCCCACTGGTCAGGTCCACGGCGCAGCTTCCCCGACTGTTCGATCCCCCTGAGCAGCTGCAGCAGCGGCGAGGGCTCGCCACTGCCCGAGTCCGGTCCTGTCGCCGGGCCGGTCAGCCTCTGCAGCTCCATGCCTTGCACCTGCAGCTCCATCTGACGCAGAATGTCATCGTCTGTGACCTCAGTATCGGGCAGGCCGAGAGGAGCCGTGAGCTCAGGAGCCACAGGAGCAGCTGTGCTCAGCTCAAAGCCCCTGAAGTAGGCAGGAGCGGTGTCAGGGAAACCCTCCAGCAGGAGGCTGCTCACGGCCTCCTCAGGATCTGCTCCTGAGGAGCGAGCGTCACTCGACTCTTTGACAGGTGCCGAAGCTCCTCCGGACACCTTCGCCAGTGAGTTGGGTTTTGACAAGGCGTTGGAAGAAGTGCCTCCGGAGCTGCTCAATATTTTCGAAGAACTGAAGACTCGAGGTGGTGGTGAGGTGCTACCGTGAGCGCGATTTACCAGTTCTGAGGAAATCTGAACTGTCTGACTGACTTTATTATTATGCTCAAGATTTGGGGCCGTAAAGTTCACTACTTCGGAGATGTTAGTGAGGTCATCCCTAGAATCGATGTCCGTCTGGTCTTCCGAGGAGGCCGTGGGTGTCTTAGCACTTGGAAAAACTGAACCCAGACTAAGACCCTCGAAACCTGGTGGCTTATTGAGGAATGTTTGAGGAGGTGCTGGGCTGTTGCTTGAATCTTCTGTTGAAGCTGTTTCAGCTTCGGCTGCCACCGCAGTCGACTGGAACATCAAACGATTGTCATTGATGGACGACTTTGATCCGTCTTTTGACTTCGAAAGCTTCATTCCAAAGTCTCCACCTAAGCTCCAGTCATGCTCTCCCCAAAAGAAACTTTCGAGGGATGTGTCTTCCTCATTCATTCGCTGTCCATCATAGTCATAATCGTTAATAAACGTTGCTGCAGTTGAAGAATGTCCACCCAGCGATTCTGGCACACCATTCCTGAACGCGTCTTGGATGGCACGTATGGTGGTGGAGACGTATCGCTGAGGACCATCGATTGCATTTGACAGTATTGAGCCTTCCTTTGGAGGAAAGTCGGGAAAATCTGGAACAGGCAACAGTTTGTCATCTGTAAAATCAAATTTGAAATTTGAATGCTTCGAAGGTGGCTGAGTGAAAAAGGGAGATTCAAATTTATTGCCATCATTTTGTTCGGTTTTAATTTTTGATAAAGGCAGCCCTGAGCCAATTGGTTGTGCCAAGGTGTCGAGCTGATTTATAGATAAACCACTATCCACGAACTGATTGTCACTTCCCGGTGCTGATTGCTCTGCGTTGCCAGCACCTAAAGCTGCGATTGATTCCAACACAGCCCCCGCGGCCTGAGACGGATAATCCGATGGGCCAGGCTTAGAAACTTCGACCTTTGCAACATTATCGACATTATTGCGGATACGTTTTGCGTCAAATGAGAAGTCGGTGTCACCAGTGAATACTTCCCCTTGCCTAGTCGGAGGCTCGTGTTTACTCAGAGAATCTTCCCCTCCAACGTCTCCAGGGCCTGGTCCTGCCCCTGCCAGCGTTTGCAGCTGATGCTTCAGCTTCATCTCGTAGACCTCCAGCTGCTGCAGGCCCTTGATCATCAAATCCGTGCTGGTGTTGCGGAAAATCACCTCGCCGACATTGAGTCCAGGTGCGGTCGGTTCGCCTGACAACGAGGCGATTTCATTCAGCACCTTCTGGCTTTCGGCATCTAGCCTCTGTCGAGTACGCTCCATAGCAGCCATAAAGTTCGTTCTCAGAGTCTCGGCACTGAAGTCTGACCAGTCTGACGGCCCAGACTGCCCAGATTCCTGCGTTTGGTCAGCTCCATCCGAGGCAGGCCTCTCTAGCGAACCTCCTTCGGGGCTATTTATCACAGCTACGTCAACCTCCCCAAACGACTGTCCTAGGGCGTTGGAAGATAACGGAAAATCAGCCTCCTCCGGTACGGAGTGGATCTGCTGCTCATCATCATACCAGACCAGACTGGCGGACTCTGGGGCGGGGAGGGGCTCCGGCTGGAGGGGAGAGGAGAAGGGTGGAGCAGAGACCGTAGGAGTGACATGCTGGGGTGCTGGTGAGTCGAGCGGGCCGGAGGGGCGGCGGTGACCACCGCGGTCAGGCCGCGACCCTGCGAAAAGACATGCAGTTTAGATGGAGTTATTCGCGTCTGAATATTTAGAGGGTTAGGTTTAGAAGCAGTGCGCAGTTTGCAAGACAATTTATGGATTTGTGGTTATAAAAAATCAAATTATTTTTAATAACTACCAGCCAACGGTTTAATTTTATATGGGAACTGGGAGCAGTGGCGGTTTGTGCAAGCTGCGGGCTTCGAGACTGACAAGGAAACTATGAACGTGAACTTAAAGAAGTACACTAGCTAAAATATGCAAAATGATTTGTGCAAATGCAGATTGAAGAGGATGAGCACTGATCTGTGCCAAGAAAGAAAGATATAAGTGACTATAAATTCACCGGCTAAAGCACCTAAGAAAGTATGAGTGCTATTCGTATGGATTATCCTTGATATTATGCCCTTTCCATTGCATTGTCCTTGACATGGTGCTCTGCCGTGAAATGCAGAAAAACATAATTGTGTGAGGTGGATGGAGCAACTAAAGGTACGAACTATGCGGGAACCCAAAGGAAATAATTTGAAAGATAGTTAGGTAGGTTCGAATGAAGAGCTTGCGTTACACATTATTCAGCCGAAGGACAAGGCGACTGGTCTCACTGCGTTACTGGAGGCTCAGCTTTGGTGAGCTATTCTTGAAAAAGATAAATTTTTTGGTAAGGATGGTGGTTTGTGGGTGTTTGTGTTTATTTCACGGCACAGCTTACTTTTAGCGTTAAATAAATAAAGTTAGGTGTCGACTGTCGTCCTATTTTTGTTATTCCTTTGTCATTGGTAGTCAGGCAAAGCTGAATCAGCATTATCGTCAGTATCGTCAGTATTATCAAAAGCAGGCCCCATGCACTAACCTACTCCATCTGCGGCCTGCGGGTCAGTTGAAGCGGAAGCGGTCACCGGAGTAAGCGGCGGCGGCAGGTAACCGTCCGCTATGGGACGGATTCTCGCCCCGAACACCGAACCACCGGCTGGTGGCGCCACCGACTGCCCGGCAGGTATCGCCGCGGTCGCCGGCGGCTCGGCAGTCTGAGCAGGTGTTAGCGACGCGCTCTCGTAGGTCCGCTGAGGTGTTGTCAGGGTTGAAGGCGGCTGGTCACTCGTTAGTAGCGTTTCCTCCAGCGAAGGAGCCTCCTCCACGAGCGGGTTAGCGGTCATGAAAGCGTTGCGGACGGTCTCGTCCACCTGATCGGTGACTACCTTCTGCAGATTGGCCCGGATGTCGATGTCTGGTAGGAGGGAGCCCGACTGGCCTGATCCACCGGCACTCTCCGGAGCCAGGTAGCCCTGGGTTGGAGAGTCGACCGCCTGCGCCAGTCCCTGCTCATCGCTCGGCTGGACAGAGCTGCTGTGGGAGCGCACATAATGGTTAGATGAGCGAACTGACATACTGTTACCGATAATTTCATACTTTTCTTGACTGATATAAAACGGGTAAAAAGAGCTTTAAAGTTTTAAAGCGTTTTACTTTGCATCGGCTGATTCCGATGTATACGAGTAGTCGACTACAGAATGATGTTCCACTCCTCAGAAGCTATCAGTTGACCGGAGCGCTAAGTTGTGCCGTTTATCACGCAATTAAGCGTGTCGATTATGAGCATTGGGACAACGCTATAATTTGTGAACTCAGCCCGTGTGATGCGGCACAGCCTACCAATCCAGGCAAATAATTGCCTGTGAAAAGTGGAACATCATTCTGTAGTCGACTGTACATACCTGAACTGGTCCTGTGCTGGAGGCGAGTACTCTTCCTGCGCCTGAGCCGGCTGGAACACTGACCCGAGATCCACCTGCAACAGACGCGTGCCGTTATAATTAACGTGTTTTAATTAACGTGTTATAATTAATGTTTTCAGACGATGTGTCTGAAAACATTTACGCATGTCCTTCTCCGGGCTCAATAACTAGTAAATTTTAATCCGCTTGGGGTAAAGGGCTCGGACAATAAATTATCGCACCCGGAAGTGTAGGCACACCACTATGACTATGATGCGTGAAGACATCGGAAGAGCGAGCCACAAACTTACTCGCGTGCTTACTTCATAATGAATTCCAACTAGCTGTAACCGTACCCTTTCTCAAATTGCTGCCTCCTATAGGCTTTCAAACGGCCCTTCATGGAATATCGTCACCATTCCCCGTCTCCCATCCTCCCTCCCTTCCCAGCCTCCTTCCCATCCGACGGACACCCGCGGGGCAGACGCACCGCATGAGTGTCGAGGAGTGGCGTGCAATAAGCACCGATAATTGACAAACAGCCGGGAGCTAAAAGCGACAACCGTGCGAGAACTAGGGGCTAGAAGAGTGGGAAGAAGATGGGGTGGGGCGAGACCTGATAAGAACAGGACGGAAACGGGACGGAAACGGACGGAAATAGGACGGAACCGAGAGGGGAACGGGAACGAAAATGGATGGTAGCGGTAACGCACAGAGACTGAAAAGAATTTGAGCGGATTGAAAGAGGAGCTGTTGGGATTCGATGACGTCGAATTTCAGCCGAACAGCACTTAGGGACGGCTGACACGCCACGGTATTCAAGCTCGTGGGTCTGAACAAGAAACGACGTGGGCTTTGAGGCGGGAGGCCTGTCTGGTGCCCGCCTCTGCGACTGGACGGAGATTGATTACCGTCATGGGCAGAGGCGGCTCATTACATCATCTCCGGGACACCCCACGTGACCAGTTACTCCACCTGACCCCAGACACCTCTCCACAAACCAGCCAAACGTATTCACGGCCACTTTCTCAGATCAATCATTGCCGCCGCGCGGCTCGTGCATATTACACCCCTCCCCACCCGTCCCCCTCCTCCATCGCGCTGACGCCGCCACTTTCCTCGGCGTGGGGTCAAGCCGGGGTCACGTGCGCGGCCGCCGGTGACCGCCGGAGGCTTGTTTCAATTACCGGCGGCGGTGTGTGCAATCGGAATCCCCGGGACGCCCCGGCTGCCTCCCACACAGGCACCATGGGCAGCTAAACGGGGACAGGAAACGGTGAAGGGAGGGAAGGGAACGGCTTAAGAACTTGCTGTATACCTACTGTGAATTCCCGTAAGCTAACAATGGGAAAATAAAAGTTAGCATAGCGTAAAAGGCGCGATAACATTTGGCTTGCTGTCCAGGAAGTATAGGAAGACGAGGAGGGAAGAGGGAGGGGAGGGAGAGGGAGGGAGTATAGGAAGACGAGGAGGGAAGAGGGAGGGGAGGGCAGAGTGAGCTGAAGACTGAAGTCACCCACCTGATTGGGATTCACCTGTGCAGCCGCTTCAGAGAAACCGCCGTCAGCTGGACTGAAACCGACATTACACGGTCATTACATGCAGAGAACGCCGAGCAGTTACGCTTGAAGCACTCATTCACGCGAAAGGGAGGGATGTAACGCACACTGGGTGAGCCGTGCGCGGGTGTGAATGGGCCCGCCGCAGTGGTTATGAACCTTGTTTGCTCGAGTAGCTAGGCGTGGTTGTGAACATCCACAAAAACGACTCGTGGTCTCAGGCTATTATCTGGTAATCACGTAACTTCTTATCGCTTCATCGCACAAAATACCGGAAATGCTACCGCACGTTTACGAAACACGATAGAAAATCACAGGTAAACGGCAAGTTTCCCTTCAATTTGTGAGGAGCGGCCACATACGAGAAGGCGCCTACAACTCACCGGGGCTGCTCGTCCTGGACGAAGACGCTGCTGAAGTCGAGTGACTCCGACTGGCCACCGCTCTCCGACGTCTGCCCGGCGATGAAGTTATCTTCGTACGAGTCAGGACGGCTGGCGAACTCGTCTCCAACCGACCCTCCAGAGAGCACGCCTTCAAACGAGACCGGCTGCGCGTCCGACTGCTGGTTTCCCGAGAAGACGCCTTCGAAGGACAGCTGCTGCTCGCCGCCGCTGGCTGGAGAGGTCACGAAGTCCTGACCCTGCTGCAGCGTCACCTCCGAGACGACGCTGCCGCCGTCCGGAGGGCCGTACTCGCCCGTGGGAGCCTCAGAACCCTGACCTGACAGTGCCACCCCCTGAGCGGCCTCCTCCTCAGAGACGATGCTGCTGTCGTACAGAGGGCCGAAACCAGTCGGAGACGCTGGTGCCGACGTCTGAGAGGTGAACCCAGAAGCAACTGCCGGCGCCGCTGTGACTGAGGGCGTCAGAAGTCCAAGGTTTCCACTGCCGCCATCCGCAGCTCCGAGGATGCTGTCGCTGTTCAGGGGTCCGTAACCCTGCCGCACCTCCTGCTGCTGCCCGGAGGTCGCTGAACTCCCTGATCCGACCTGAACGCCGGCCGGCAGCGGCCCGGTGATGATGTCAGCGGCGCTGGGAGGGCCGTACCCGCCCGTCGACTGTCCTCTCTGAGACTGGCCGCCACCGAGGCTGGCCTGGGAGACAGACTGGCCCCGGGCAGAGCCGAATTCCTGCGGGGAGCCGGCCTGGACGAACGGAGACCGTCCGGAGCCCTGCTGACCGAGCTGCTGCACCTCGCTGGTGCTGAGGATGTCCTCAGGGCGGGGTGCCGAGTATGTCTGACCACCGGGCCCGGCCGCCTGCGGCTGCTGAGGGCTCGGAGCGTCGTAGGACTGCTGCTGCTGCTGCTGCTGCTGCTGCTGAGGGGCTGAATACTGCTGCTGTGCCTGCCCAGAGCTGAGGACGTCCTGCGGTCTAGGAGAGCTGTATGCCTGACCTCCCGCCTGCTGCTGCTGCTGCTGCTGCTGCTGCTGCTGCTGCTGGGGCTGTGGGGCATCATACGTCTGCTGTGGCTGAGGTGAGCTGTACTGTTGCTGAATCTCGTTCGGGCTGATGATGTCCTCTGGACGAGGTGCACTGTAGCTCTGACCACCTCCGGATTGTTGCGGTTGCGGCGAGGTATACTGCTGCTGTGGCTGCTGCTGCGGTGAGCTATACTGCTGCTGCGGCTGAGACTGCGGTGTGGTGTACTGCTGTCCGATCTGATTGGAGCTGATGATGTCCTCTGGCCTTGGCGCGGTGTAACCCTGCTGACCGCCCTGCTGACCGCCCTGCTGGTGCTGCTCCGCAGGGGCCAGGTAATCAGCCTGCTGGGGACTGATGATGCTCTGCGGCTGCGGGGAGGAGTAGCCGTTCTGGCTGTTACCGCCAGAGGAGCCTGATGAAGGGTAGAAGATAGGGCTGCTGTTCTGCCGGAACCCACCCTGGCTGTGACCCGAGTTCTGAGGTCCTCGGTAACTCTGCTGAGGCTGGACCGTGATGGAGCTCTGCACGACGTGAGAGGTTCCCTGAGAGCCACTGTGACCACGTCCTGAGGTCTGTGGTCCCCCATACCCCTGCTGGGGCTGCTGCGTGGGTCCTCCGTACCCCTGCTGGGGCTGATGCGTGGGTCCTCCGTACCCCTGCTGGGGCTGGACGGGGACAAACCCGCCGTACTCCGGCGTGGTGGGCTGCGGCGAGCCGTAACTCTGCTCGGGAACTGAAGTCGTGGGAGCGCCGTACTCTTGCTGTGGCTGCGGCTGACTGTAGGAGGTGTCCGGCAGAGGCACCCACTCGAACTGCTTGCAGGCCTCGCACGCGAGGGAGACGTCCGGCTCGATCTGCTGTCCGCCGCCGTAACCGCCACTGCCACCGCTGCCGTGTCCTCCGCTGGAGCCGTGTCCTCCACCTCCGTGTCCTCCTGAAGATCCATGTCCTCCACCTCCGTGTCCGCCAGAGGATCCTCCGTGTCCGCCTCCACTGTACCCTCCACCGCCGCCGCCATGTCCTCCGGACCCACCGTGTCCGGATCCACCATGTCCTCCGGACCCACCGTGTCCACCGTGTCCACCGCCGCCACCATGTCCTCCGGATCCACCGTGTCCGGATCCACCGTGTCCGCCAGAGGATCCACCATGTCCTCCTCCGCCAAGTCCGCCGTGCCCTCCGGATCCACCATGTCCTCCTCCACCGTGTCCGCCGGATCCTCCGTGTCCCCCATGTCCTCCGGATCCGCCGTGCCCTCCTGAGGGCGGCCCGTAGCTTCCTGACGGCGTCGGCACCACGATCGCATGTGGCTTCAGCCCAATCGAGACTGGGTACGGCCGCGCCCCGCTCGGCTTACCGTGGCCGTGGCCATGACCCCTGCTACGACCCCGTCCTCCTGCGTGGTTCCTGCCGCGCCGTCTGCTGCCCAGGCCGAACAGACTGAACAAGTCGCGGCGCTCCCTCTGAAGGCCGGCCTCAGTTGTGGTCACCACGGCTGCGGCAGCTGCCAGAAGACATACCTGGAACAGAGAGGGAGAGAGGTAAAGTGCGTGTGAGAGACGGTTTTGGATAAGGAGGAATGGGTGAGTGGGATTGATATATTAAAAACTGGCGGATCTTGAATCGTGTGCCATCACTAAATGACATTAAATACGCCTTTTACACATAACAACGCTAAACATAATGGCCATGAGCTGTGTTCTATGTAAGCCAAGGGATTTCAGCCATTGTAAACGATTTTAACTCTTCGGGTTCAGTGCTCATTTTGATATTTCTCCTACATTATTAACTCATGGCAAAATCAAGATGGTGAGATTGCCATTGAGCAACTGATCCATTTCGCCAAACGACCAGCGACTGTGGTTGTGGTTGTTGTGTGATTGAGTCCCTTTTCAGCGGACTGTAATTAAAAACGTCAACTCGGGTTGAGCGATGGTGTGCCCTCAGCCGTGAAACTGCCGGTGTCATCGAAACAAGAGTGAAGGCTGGAAACACCACGCTCTTACCGACACCACTGATTACCTTTAAACATCTGAAGTGGCCCATTTGAGGCGAAACGGTAGGTGCCTGCTACATTGAACGAACACTAGGTACAAGCATTGCAATTTACAATTAGTCGCGAAAGCATAATGGAAGGATAACTTAATTTAATCTTTTAGTGAACGAAGTCCCAGCGTCACCATCATCTTTTAAATAAATATTGTTTTGAACGCTAATCTACCGTTGCTACACCATCCTTTTATTTTTCCCATGGTGGCCATGACTAGAAGGAAAACTTTCCCTAGCAAAGGCATTTACCGACAGGCGACACCCATCGCTCACATGGGCGATGAGGCCGCTGAAGCATGCTCATCACCTAACTCACAGAAGGTAGCATTTACCCGGCATTAATGCTAGTCTGTTCCCGCACAAACACGTTTCGATCTTATGGACAATGTTCAGGGTGCTATCACAATCAATTTGTCAGGGAGTAGAACATCATGTTCCGGCTCCCTCTACAAGATAAGTGCAGACTGATAGGTAGCCTTAGTCGTCTTGGTTAGCCTAAATATTCGAGAACAGAATTACATAAACGCAATTCCATATTCCTTCAGTGCATTATCGATTTTGTACGCGACAGTAGGGTAAAATCTCATACGAGTAGGTATAGCCCAGTTGCTACTTGAATAAGTGTTTTCCCGCACAAAGTTCACGGCTGTCTTCATAACTGTTCTGATTAGCAGCAGGCTCATAGCACCTCATCCGCCCAATCCCACCCCCAGCCTCTGCTGCCCGACGACACGACCGGTCTCGTCTGTCACGACAGAACTCCGTGTAACAGTGTTCGCCACGGGCCCCAAAATCCCCAGCCCAGCCCGGCCCGGGCCCATGGGTTCAGAGCCCGTCCCAGCCCGTAGCCCGCTCTTGGCAAATATTCCAAGCCCAGCCCGGCCCGGCCCATCAAAAATAGCAATCTAGTTACTGTCTTAGTCTATTGCTATAATAAGCATGATTGATTACACTATTTTGAGAACAATTCAAATTGCATGAATATTAACATGGCAATCATGACTCCCTTCTTTTCAATGAATATTATCATTTCAAGTGCCTATGGCACAAATTTTAACAGTAACAGCAAGCACCTCAGTCAATTAGGTCATGATTACACACCTATACAAAGTTTACATGATTATATTAACTACATTCTATGAGTAAAGTTATCTTGCAAGCTGATGTGTGTGAACATTATCATTCATAATTGGTGACTCTAATGCATACTTGAAGGAAGTATTTGCAACATACATTATACTTTCCAGCACTTACCAACAGAAAAAAGCTTGACTTATGGGAATTGATGAATCTGTCTGGGATTGACCTTGCTGTTAAATTCACTCCATTGATGCTGCAATATCAAAAGCCTGAGAAAGCATACAAAATAGGTGACACTAACTTTAGCACTGTCTTCCAAAAAAAGAGAAAATCCATCCATTTATCAGCAAAACTGATTTAATCTATTGCAATTCATGCCCACGTGTCAACCGAATCTCTGTAGACAACTATCTGCTGCTTTCCTTGCTATTTTATGTTAGGCTCTTTTCAAGATATGGATATCGTTAGCAGCGTAAGCAGAAAACATGGTAAGCTTGAAATATCATTGGGTACTTTTGCGACTTTTACGCATCATCATCATCAATCGAAAATGAGCGAACACTTCTTGATTGTTGCAGCTGCGGCAGGTAGCGATTCTGGCCAATTGTATAATAAAACATATATGATCAAGTTTTTTTTTGTTTTTCGTTCAAGTTTTCAGACTTCGTGATTAAGGTTTTATTTTTTATTTGTTAAATTTTGTTTTCCATCTTGATATTTACTTAAAAAACGTATTTATTTGATATACTGTTGTGTATACTACCTAGATGCCGCCACATAAACATAGCGCCGCCGCCATGATCGCAAAAATTTTGTTGAGAAGGGGGTGGGTTGTTGTGATTTATTTTGACAAATTTATGGACATTTAAAGAAGCTTTCATCGCGAAATACTCTGTAGAATTCCTCGTTACTTACAGTGTGTTTTGTGAGTATCCTTTTAAGGTTCTGTTCGTTAAAAAGCCGTCGGTGAAGGAAAAAAGACTGTGTTGGAATTGTCTCACTATCGCCATATATAAGTGTTAAACGTAATGTAGCCCTGTAGCCCATCATTGTTGAGTGGCTTCTTAGTTTTTGGAGTTGTAGTGCTAAGTAAGTTATTTTGATGACTACATTTTAACTTTTATTAACAAACTAATGATGCTAGAGATTCTCTGATCTTTTTGGTTGCGGATGAAAACCCTCCTATGTGTGACATGATGTGATATTGGATAATTCTCAAGATTCCCAAAATTCAATATCAAGTAGGTTTTCTTTCACATTGCTTAAATTTGGTTTAGTTTTTGTATTTTCCCAGTGGGTTTTGTTTGCATCAGTTTCCAAATTTTCTTAAAGGGACTGTCCCACCTTAACATTAAAATTGAGTTGAGATAGCCATCTTGATGGGCGTTCTTTGAAAATCAGAGCCGTGAAAACCGTTTCTCCAGCAATTACTTCATCGCAAATAAAATTGTGTTTGATTTTGACATCTGTGCAAATAAGTGCCACAATGTATTGGTATTGGCACTTAAAACCTGTGACGTCACCGCCTTTTCCGAAGTTTCTGTATCTGTCGACTTGTTTTTAATTGAAACCTTGAAAAATAACAACGCCTCTTGGAACAGCGCCCATTCGTTCCGGTGCCACGAGGTGGAGAAATAAATTGATATGCAAAACTAATTCTAATTGTCTTCTAATTCTTGTAGTATTTTTATTTTTGTATTTAAATAGTTAAGAGGCCGTCCTAAATGTGACTGAAGAATGCAGGAGCCATGAACTTATCAATGGCAGGTGTCAAGTTCAAATGTGCAACTCTCTAAAATTAATCATAGTGTAGTATCAAAATGATAAATGATTTGCTCACTGCTGTTTCAACTCCATAATCAAGACATGCTCTGAGGAGTCCACAATCTATTGATGGTGACAACTAAGGAAGAGACAATGAATTTTCACCTTTTTATTTCTGAGCATCCAAGACGACTAACCTTGAGCCGTTGAACATTGATAATACCCTGTATGCTGAAGTCAAGGCTATATAAACGTATAAACTGGTGAAGTCATGTGGGTGGCCTGAGGTCGACCATGCCTAGTAAAGAACTGTTGTTTGTGTAAACACCATGCAGAGGCGTTTTGAAATAAATTTTAGTGATGTAATGTATCATTCTTTGAACTGAGTTGCTGATGGCGGATGAAAGCGGAAGTGCTGCATGTTGAATCAGAAATGCTCTGTTGCGCTTTTAAGCTTATGTTAGATTTTATAGATGGCTTAGTTTTCCTGCAGATTTCATCTTAAAGCTGTCAATAGTGTTTTACCTTTGTTTCCTGGGAGCAGATCCAGCTACTAACATGAGCATCAGCATGGGACTGGGCCTTTGTACCACAGTCGCTGCGCTGCTTGTCAAAACCTAGGTAATGTGCTTTGTTAGGCCATACTGTGCATTTTTTAAACCTTTAGAGTACTTTGTGATCATTGACATACATATTGCACCTGACAAACAGCAGCAAAATCACACCCCATCCTTACCTCTGTGCAGTGTCACCCAACAGACAACAGGGCTTCAAAACAGGCAGGTTCCGCATTCAAGTCGCTTCTTGCAACTATGTGTCGTGACTAATGTTAGGACAATAGACGTGCTGTACAGGGAAGGTGTGTTCTGTGTAGCTCTTGAAAAATGAAGTCATGCCTAAAATTCAGTTTAGAATATTACAATTACAAATAACTTGGATAAAAGTTGCAAAACATGAACTCTGACTGGTCAGTTGAAATGTCTTGAGTCAGTGAACCACGCCTGGGCTGGGGGAGGTCAGTTCCCTGGCTTGCGCGACCTCGGGCAGGAGCTGTGGGACTTGTACATGGACAGATTGAATAGATGCTAGCCTAGATCATGTCGTGGCTGCAGTCCAAGACATGTTCACTAGTTGCCGTTGCTGCCGCCGCCTGCTGCTGCCCTGCGTGCCGGCTGGCAGCTCACTGCTGGACTGTTTGCGCGCCAGGCATCCTACTGGACGAGTGGGGTAGGTCGCAGATATTTGAGAGTGAAACGTTTGGTCTACGCCAGCCCGCGCCCGCTGTGCGCTGAATGTAGCTGAAACTCTTACAAATAATCTAATAAAAAGGCAAAATTTCAGAGGACTCCATTGGTGTCTCCGTGGTGACAATCAGAACTTGATCAGAACTGTTATCATGCTGAATGCTGAAACTGAGAATAGGGCTGAGCTGGTGGGCTAGAATTTAATATGCATGCTTACAAGGTCCCCAGTTCATTTGTCACAAATTTGTCAGACTTGCCTGTAGGCAAATTTATGCAGATGAAATGTTTCTGGCAGATAGCCCTGAGGCAAAATGCTATTCAAGCTTGTTCCGCAGCTCGTTGCGTTCCACATGAGCCACTAAATCAGAGTCACACAACTCTGC